GGTTTCTTGTCTGTATTTCTTCCTCTGGACTGACAGCTCCTGATTTTGAGCATATTTTATTACTATCCACACCTTTTCTGTGCCAAGATCTTTAATGAAAATACTACACAGTTGAAAAACATGGTCTTAGAAGCAAACACTTTTAGAAACCCACCACAAGCCTCACTTCCCATTTCAATACCATCAACCATCATATGTTGTTTTTCTGGATTATCTGTTATGAGGTAAGATATCAGGTACATAAATATGAGACAGGATAAGACCTCTCATGTTTCTGTGAAACAGAAAAATGATCAAATATGAACTACATAGCACATTCTGCTCTTGCAACTCCATGGTACTAATGATTCTGTTCTGCAGAGCCCCTTCTGAGCCTGCTATTCTTACGCCCAAATGGTATCAGATGAATGGCAGTGGTTCAGATCGTTTCCTTTGTCTTTTTCTAAATAGAAGTGCTATATTTGCTGCCTTCATGTCATGGTCACTCTCAGAGTTTTTTCTCAGAATAGCTGTAATTAAAACTCTGCGCTGATGGATGATGAGTTCACGAGCTTGGTCTTTCAGCGTCCTCATCTCTTGAGCTCTGACACACTGACTTTTACTGCCACTTTGGATGAAAGTGCTTCCACTTCAGATTTACAGATTATTGTCCCCATCTTGATCTCACCATTTTTACCGTCCAAGTCACTATGCTGCAAGACAGTGGCCAGGAAAAGCCACTTATATTTTAATTTATTCATGCATAATACGAACAGCATATGCAAGGATGCTTCTGCTAGCCTCTCCCCTTGTGTGCAGTGGAGCAGTCGCAGGGCAAATAAATCAGTTGTAACATGACTATGTAGGCCAATCAAGCCATAACCTTACTTGGTTTCTGACATGCCCACTGTGACTCTCCACTAATTTTAAACATCAGACAGCAGTGAGGGAAACAAATGCATGCATCCCTTCCTAGGAAGTTGTTACTTGTTTATGGTGCTTATGTAAACTAATAATTGAAAAGACTGGACTTTCTGGTGCCTGTATGCTTCCTTTCAAAGAGGGACTTGCAGAACATGCGAGAAAGCAAATGAAACAAGTTATTTCAGGATTAAAATTAAAGAAAAATTCCTTTAATTTCTGAATAATTTAGAATGAGTTAAATTGTTAGATGCTCTTTGACTGCAGAGAAATGATAGCTCTCACAGCTGGTTATTCAGACTGACCTGAACAGAAGTGAACAGTGATCTGTACGACCTATAATGTCCTTTGCATTCCCTACTATAGTCTCAGGGCACATAGCACTCCAAGGTCAAAGACCCCACTAGAAAGTCTGAAGTAACTCGGCATTTTTAATCATACAGTCAACCTGGAGTGGAGGGCTGCCTGCTACCAAATCTTTTCCTCAACTACATGGCCTTTTAAAAACGAATAGTCTCAATTTCCCTAATCATTATGCTCAAGGATGATCACTTTGTCTCTTTTTAATGCGAGGATATTGCCAACTCTTTTTATCATTGAGGAGGTCTCTTGGGACAATCTCCTCCAGCCAATGATCCTTTTCAACCTGCCTACTACTTCTGTCACTGATAAGATCAAAGCTATCCACTTGAAAGAAAATCTTCAGGATTTAATTGGTGTTTCCTTTTTCCTCATATGCTGATCTTCTGGCAACAGTTAAAACTAAAACCCACGTGCACTCACCCACGCAGGCATTCAACGTCGGCTACACACAGGTCATTGGCTCCATCACAATGTCCCAAATGGGTCAGCAGAAAAAAAAAATCTCACTACAGATGAGCCGTCACTCACAACGACCACATAAACAACTTGGTTGTACCCATTTGTAAAATATAGTGAAGGGAGTATGCTGATTCTGTAGCTATTAACAGACTCCCACTCATCGTAGCCAAGCTTCAGTCATTCAGGTCTTGGAAGTCCAGCAGTATGCTTACGCTGGTGTAAATCAACAGTGTGAAAACCACTGCACTTGTGTGAAAGAGACTTTCAGCAGTGTACCTGTGCCTTAAAGCTGCAGCGCGGTCTCGATTACTTAGCGTGTTCCAGTTTTGGGGAGCAATGCAGTTCTCCTCCTCCAGAAAAGGGTTAAATGTCAGATCCTAGAGGGATCAGCATATCTGCTCCTCCTCTGTGCAAGAGGGAAAAGGTTCTTCAATCTACCTTACAAAAGGGATGGAAGTTAAAGAGAAAGTCATTCATATTCTTGCTGGCAGTTCTCCACTACGGTAGGAAGAGGAAGCTAGAAAGACAACAATCAAAAATGCTGTTTCCCTTCCTGAAAAGTACCACCCAAGAGTTAAACATACAGAACAGGGTGCAGGTCATTCTCGTCCAGCAAAACCAGCAGAGAGTTCAGAAACTCCTACTGAAGGTGATTCTTAGAGAAAAGTATGCATTGCAAGAGCCACTTTTTGTATGAAATACCTGAAAATAGCAACAGCTGTTCTTTATAGCTGTGTGTAAATTCATTTTCACCATATTTTACTACATTTTAAAATAAGCCACAACTCACGTCTTGCTAGGAGAAAAAATTACATTACGTAATGAGTACTGTTTTGAGAACAAATATTTTCAAAGCATTGCGTCTGCTGCAATCATTACGGTAAAGACCCATCAATGAAATGGCATTATGCCATTAACCAGGGGAGTCAGCGATATTTATTACCTTTAGCTGGGAAATTATTTGCAAGGAGAAAGTGAAAGTGCCTGTTTTCTATTCCATCACAATGGCACAGCTTGCAGTAATTGTAATAATAGGGCAGATTGTGCCTGTGCTTTCTCCTGACCATCCATAGTATGTCATTCAGTCAGAAAATCTGGGAGGCACAATTTGGCTGCATAGGGTACTAACATAACATTAAAGAGGTAACATTTCCTACCTTCAGTTTTTACTCATTTTTTTTTTTTAGCTATTGTTTTCTGAGTAGTAGAAAATGTAGTAGTTAAGAAAGCTAGACTATGCAGAAGAACTTGTCAGCTGTATACAGTGGTAAATATACTCAGTGAAACACACGGCTCCATTCATTGCAAGTAATGTTATTTATGTACACACAGATGCAAGACCAGAGTGTAAGGCTGGGCGATGGGGGTGCGTGATGTTACCCATGAAGGCTGTTATTTTCAAGAATGCCTAATGATGAATACGACTCATTTGAAAGGAGCTTTGGGGACTCGCTGGCATGAAGGAGCAATGATGCTTCTGGCCAAAGATTAAACACTTCCTTCCTATTGACTTGGGGAACTGGGAAGTTTCAGCAAACGCAGGATCAGGCCATTAAAAAGGGTTTCACAGCACTCGCAAGGAACTGACAGACCCCATGAACTTCCTGCACTGTCTCTTTGTATGGATGTAAGCGAGACCATGCCATTTCATGAAACTTCTCTTCAAACACAATTATTTATAAGAACAATGGACATCTTAGAATGAGGTCAATGAAAGAAAACGTACGATTTGCTTGCCCAACATGACTAGAAAAACAGTGCTGCGTTAAACCAATTCCAAAGTAGAGCATGCAAGGGACTATTTGCTGTCATGAAGGTTTTGTGGGTGAGAGCCTTAGTTTGTGCATATACTGCTATAGACTGAGACAATGAAAAAAGCCCCAATTTGTCAGCACTACGAAAGCCTGGGCAATGCTGCAAGTTAAACAAACCGTCTATTTTGAAATTAGTGTTAGAAGAAGGTCTGTATTCCAGGGAGCCCGAAAACACTTTTTCTATTTGGACTTCTACCTAATATGGTGAAAAAAATAACAGGGATGAATGTCAGGCATGGTTTGTATGACAAGATTTACAGGGCCTGCCTCATATTACCTTTCAGAGAGGCAACAAATAGTCCTTGTTGATCTGCAGTTAATCTTACGCGACTGGCTCAGAAACCTACCAACACTAATAATAGACCGTGTGTGCTGCCGTCAGTAGGTTCATGCTGAAAGGCACTGAGGAGCACAACTCAGTGTTAAAGAAAGCATAAAATAACTCTCATGTTAGACAGACTGCATCTTTTGGTTCATTAACTAACGTCTACCAGCAGCCACCAACGACAGTGCTACAAGAAATTAGGTTCGCGGTTACCTGATAGATTACGACCCGGAATTTGTTTTTGCTCAGCATCTCCTCTTGTTTTGCTTCCACCTTGCGCACACTAGCGCTCTGCCTCTCCACGCGTGCCCGCACCTCCTTCATCGTGGAGCTGACTTTGCGAGTTTTCTCCAGTAACTTGTTCACTGTGTAGCCTGTATTGCCGTGAGCCTGAGCAAGCTTTAAAATGTCAATCTGTATGGTCTTGATGGCGTTTTCCATCTCCCTGTGCCTCTCCTCTATCCTTTTCTGGCTCGCCTGCACGCTGTCCACAATGTTGGCCACTTTATCCAGGACCGTCACAATCGTGTAAGCTGCATCTTGTTCTTCTTCCTCCTCGGTGACGCTGGAGAGACGATTTTGGTGGGTTTTGTCAGCCTCCGAGGTGATTTCGCGGTGATCCATTTTGCCTGCCTTCAGCTGGGTGGCGGGAGGCGAAGTTTTGGTGATCCTGCCAGAACGATTCTGGCGCTGCTGCAGGGAGCCAGGGCGACAGCTGGCTCTGGCGATGCTCAAAGTAGGGCGTGAAACGCCGCTCCTGGAGCTTGGTCAAATACTTCTGACTAGAAAATATCCACACATGATTGTTCGGATACTTTCAGCAACATGAAACCCCTAAAATTAGGAAGCAATGTCTGGAAAGGAGCATACGTTAAAAGGGTCACGCTTCTGTACTGTTGAAGTTATTAGTGTTAATCCAGGAAAGTTAAGTAACTTACTAATTAAGCAGGCAAGCAAACTTGCATATTTTTGACGATCTACTTTTGTTTTCGTGTTACTGGAGTGCTTTCCTCTGAGGGAATTCAAAGAACGGTCAGGAAAATTAACATGGTTGTTTTTTCCAGCAAAACAACTTCAGGTCTTCAGCTTGCTGCAATTACCACATAGGGTAACAAATAAACACACTAAACCAGAGGCAATATAGTGAAAACGTTGTATTGTGACATGCTTTTCCAGTTCAAAATGTTGAAAGCATTTGTCTTTTTTATTGAACAAATTATTAAATCCTACATGCAAAATTTTGAAAGCCTAAACTACACGTTAAAACAGCTGAACGCATCCTATTCACACTTTATCTCGGGATCTTTCAAACAACAACTAACAGTCTATTAATATAACTATGACCAGCAGACTAATTTGGATGGACTTCTTTAGCTCTTGAAAATACTCTATACAAGAGCACTAGTAATTCATTCACTTTTATTATTTTTTTATTTTAATCACAAACACTATACAATCCGTATTGTAGGTGTTAAAACATGTATTTTCTTTAAAAAAGTTTAAGAAGTATTAAAACAGCTTTAACAGTGATAAAGTAGGTTTTATTCCAATTATTTGTGTTCAATTATTCAACACCAATTTTTACAATACCTAAATCTACTAAGACCTACTTCTTTTGGACCTGTGCCATCTGCTCTACCAGGTAACTTCCCAAATTATGAAATTTATAATTTTCCTCTTTAAAAATAAACTGTTGGAATTATTTATGAAGATGGCAGTGCTTAGACCCAGCCCACATGTTTTATAAATATGTTACAACTACACACAGCACACAGCTTCACAGTTCATGCGATAGGCAGTGTCTAAAAAATCAGTTACTAACTTCCAAAAACATTTAAATATCTACGGTATTTAAACACAGTGTTTTCTAGTTTCTCATAAGAAAAGTAAGCTGTAAACATTTTTACCTTTAGTTCATGCCTTGTTTGCTAGGTAATGTGGACTTTTTTGTTGGTTTGTTGGGTTTTTTTTTAAAATCTACAACCATTGGTGGAATAAATCTGTGTTCCCAAAAATATTACATTCCATGGATAAAGCACAAGTCTATTACATAACCATGTGATACAGATACAGAAAATGAACTACTGTATTCAAAAACATAAAAGTAAAGATACTAAAACAGTCCATAGCTGTTAGAGCTGATGCTTTCAGAATACAGACCAACATTGTTACACTAAAAATGTTCAAAAATAAGGCCTCTGAAATAAATATTTCCATTCTTTAAAAAAAGATATAATAAAAATGTACATCACATGGTCAATGTAGGTATAAAAAAATCACTAAGTTAAACCATTCTGGATGATGTATCTGAAGTAAAATGGCCTAGGTTTTGCTTCTGCCGACGTCCTCTATTGTTTTTGGGGCATTTTCTGTTTAAAAAAGAGAGAAAGAGAAAGAAAAAGGAGGGCTGATTTTATATATGCCGCGTAAAATTAAGCCTAGCAATAACACATTGACTTAATTTTCTGTACTTAACAATAGCAAGGAGTCTATGAGCTGTGCTGACTGGGGGGACGCTCCTGCTGTTTGGTATTGGACTGTGACCCGGGGATGTCCATGGGACCCCAGACCACTCAGGAGGGACTTCTGCTTGAACTTGAGACTGAAACCAGCAAGGTGCTACATCCTTCAGCCTTGATCCAGCAAAACATGTACCATGGTGAATAATTGCATTGGCTTTACTTCATACATATTTCATACATAAAATCCAGCGAATGGTAAGACTGGATCAATCAGCCTTTTGAAGTGCTAGACCTCCAGGTGCCCTGACTCTCTGTGAGGTGACTCAGGCAATCCCTTTCTTGGAGATGGGCGCGTAACTAAGAAAAGATTCACAAAAGCCAGCAGTTCTGAATGGGACGGGACTTACTGAGCCCATCAGACAGCGGGCAACGCACAATGGAGCAGTCCTGCTGGGATGCAGCAAGACAGCCTGTCCACAAGAGACTGTGAGCTGGGGAACAGTTGTAGGGAGGCTGAAAGAGAAGGGCAGCTGAACCCAGCAGCCTTCCACGCCACTGCTTTGGTCAGCAGGGTGTTGAGTGAAAAAGGGATGACACCAATTGCACGAGCCAAATAACTCTCTTACATGTGTCGGAGGTGTTAGATATGTGGACTTATACCTGCTACATTGAACCTTACAAGAAAGATAGGGAAGGAGGCCTATATTGTTTGTTCATAGGGGTGTCACTCTACATCACTGGGTTTGGGAAGCCATGCGGTAATGCACTAGCACAAAGTTTTATGGCCCAGTGTAACTGGAGTTGAAAAAGAGAAGGATGAGTTAAGGAGGAAAAGGCAAAGTGTGGCATGGATGGCCAAGTGTAGGACTTAAATGCTTCATGCACCTATAAGGTAGCTAAGTCATCCTTAATCTATCCCAGAGCCCTCAGTTCTTGTTGGGTTCAAGTCCCTGATGAGCAAACCGAATCCCTTGTCATCAAAAAGAACCCATGGCTCTCATCTCAGTTTTCATACAGGGTGAGAATCTGAGACAACCCAGAAACTTGAACTCTGTGCTTGTGCATCTTTACATTTCATAAAGTAGGTTTCCATGGAGACTGCCTAACAATGGGACTAGCTGCACATTAATTTTCAGAAACCGTATATGGTGTGAGGGACACTTCTCTCTCTGTGTAACACCATTTACAGTGGTACTGCAGGGAACAGCATCTTGTCAACCTCTCTGGTTTCACTGGGCCTGAGCGGGGGATCACAGCTTCTATAAGATATCAGCAATGCTTGAATAACTCCAGTGAAGGTCTAACACAGCAGCTGACCTTTTGGATGTGTTTCAAGGCTGATCTGTTCTGCTGGGTATTTGGTCTGGGGATTCAGAGTGGTGGTTTGTGAATTTAAACAAACGTGTGTTTTGTGACAAAAAAAGAAAGGCGACAGGATGTTACATAATCCTTCTGCTTCGGTCATAAGGTATTTTTTATGTGGGTATTTTAGGATATATGTTAAAGCACATAAAATTTTGGGGGAATCAAATATTTAAATACAGAAAAAGTATATCTACACAATGTGTAATTTTTCACTGTTTTTGTCTTTACCTACCTTGTTATGCACATGACAATTGCAACTATAATGGCAATCTGTACAGCTCCAATTATTGCTGCAATAAGGACATGCGTAAGCTTTTGTCTACTTGGGACAACATAAAGAATACTAAAGTCTGTCTTTTCACAGTGCTGTCCAGTGTATCCTGATTCACACCTGAAAAAGAAAAGGAATATTTCATAGAATCTGTAATTTGTCAACAGCTCAGTCATTTTGCAGATGAAAGAAGGAGTCCAAGGCAACTCCAGCTGAGAAAGAGCTGGTCAGAAGGCAGAGGTGTGGTAACACTTGGCTTGGGGAATGGTTTGGATTTCTGTGGCAGAAGAAAAGACAGAGCAGATATTCTCTGCTTCCCTGGATAAGGTTACTAGTGACACTCTGAAAACACACCAGTGTGGTGAAGGCCCTGATTTGGCAAAAGAAATATGTGGGGTCGTTACTGGGGCAATATTTAGAAAGAATAAACCAACTAGGTGAAACAAGTAGACAAGGTTAAATGAAACACAAAGAAGCATGCTCATGAAACACAAAGTGAGCATGCTTGTTCAGCTGCAATGTCAGTATTAGGGAGAAGTTACAAAGAGGGAGAGAAACCTTGAAAAATGGGAGGAAAGAAAGATCCCTTTTCAAGTTGCAGCCTACAGAAGTGGAATCCCGCAAAACCTATCGGACAAGACCAGCATCAACTCCCTCCTGCCTTGTCATCAAACCAAAATTTGATGGAGGTCAGGTTAGAAAATCCAATGGACTACAACTATTCGAGTGAGAGTTCATGGAAAAATCCATAAAAAATTGGCCAAGGGTGGGGGAGAAATAGTTGGAGACAGACGAGAAGTGGCTGCTCTAAATGGTAGCTCGCCTGAGCAAAGCAGCAGTTAGCTCAATGAGAAACTCGGCCGAGGCTGCTCCTGATCAGCGACACGTGTTCAGGGAACGCGAGATGTGCCAGCGGTGAAGGTGGCAGAGGAAACACGCTCTGGAGCAATTCATGTCGCAAGGCGAGAGAGGCTGAAGCACAACAAGGAAAGGCAAGAGCCACCCAAGAGACTGAGCTGAAGTCTGCAGAAAGGCCACCACCTAGCAAGTTCCTTGTACAGATGTCTTTTAAAACCGACTGATGTGAATGCATCATTAGGGGCAACTGTATCATACAATTGACCTCCAGCTCTATAGCGGAAAGCTGGAGAAGGAAATACTCACATGCAGGCAGGGAAACAATCCTTTTGTAAACTGCATCAGATAAGCCTGGATGCAACACAAAATCAGTCTCATCCATCTACCCAAGTTTTGTGCTAAGGCAGAAATTAATTCTGTTTGGAGGAACGAAATAATTACTCTACAGACCTTCCTACAACTGCTAATGCAACTCCTAATCCCCCTTTGCATGCAGGGATAACAGTTGGGGTTTACATGTTCATAATCTTGTGACTCTACTTTCTCCAGCCATGAGCTGCTGTGTAAGGAGTTTTAGTTCAGGCATGAAAGAAGTTCCAGTAAGAGCGGAGTTATTAAATAAAAGCCTCCATGTACTGTAAGTAAGCTCGGTAACGGCTAAGAAGGGAATCAAGAGAAATGTATTAGCAGTCAAGAAAGAAGAGGACGGGGAACATGTTGGCAATCATGCAAAAAGAAGCAATAAGGAGGAGGGCTCCTTGCTAGTGAAGAGGACTGAATTCTCATTGTTACTTTGCTTTTGTTTTCATTAAAGAAGGTAACAGTCAAAGTGTGATCAATGTGAGAATTGCTTTAAAGCAGAGGCGGCACAAGTAATTCAAAGATGTTTCCTCAGAAACACTGAAGCAACAGGAAATTATTTCTGAGAAATATTGAATGGAGATTCAGGAGTATTGAATTCATGCAAAGAAGAAGTGCTTGTGTTGAGAACGATATTGGTGGGATGAAGTACTAGGCACTAGTTTAAGCTACCTTAAACTAGTAGAACAGATTTTAAAGCATTCTGCAGCATTAATATATAGCAAGACAATATAGCATTAATATAACAGCAAGATAAACAGAGGTCAGCATGGATTTATCAAAATACGCTGATCAGTCAGTTAATGGAGTTAGCATAAAGAAGTTCAGGTTTCTTCGCAAAGGGCTGAACTGTGCCTCCTTGACGCGGCCTGCCATAAGGACAGGGCAGAACTGCTCTGCGCAAGGCGGGGCAGCAGGATGGGACAGACCAGATCCCAGTTGCGCAAAGGCCAGTAAACTAAATGTGCAATTGACTACTACAAAACCTTCCTCCCACCTGCCTGCTGGCAGTCCTGGAGGGCTGCCGTACAATGAGCAAGGAGATTCATTGCTTCTGGTGAAAGCAAAAGTCAGAATTTGCTCTGTGCAGGTATTTTCTGCAGTTTGGTAGGTCATCTGGTACCTCACACATATCACTACCAGGAAAGGAGAACCAAATTAAACAATGTATATCCTAGATGTGTGTGAGAATGCAAAGCATTTGAAAATAAGTCTGCCCCTAGCATTCATCATTGTATTTTCCTTGCCAGAGAAAGAGAGAATTTTTTTCTGTGATAGAAGTACATGATTACTATGGCGGATTCCTGGCTGATACAGATAATTTGTTTCCTTAATAACTCTGCTCATTAGGAAACATGCATAAAGTACGAGACCATCAGTATTTAAATAGTCAAGAAAAATCCAAAGGAGATCTGATACTTAGGGGTAAGAACTGACAGACAGAAATTCTTGACTGGAACCATGCGAACTTTGTTGTGCTAGGTTCAGTGCTGAGACACTGTTCAGGTTGTTTAAATAAATAATTAAATATTTTATTTAATT